CCAAGCCATGCCCAGCCAGCTTCTCCAGGAACCTTTTATGTAAAGAGGTTTCTTTGTTAGAAGGTAAAATGAATTTATGCAAATAGTTGAAAGATTTAATAGAAAGGAGAAAGAACAACTATTACAGAATATTCATACCATAAATTATAACTAATCTTGTGAAAATAAAAGGAGAAAAAGGAAAGCTGAATAACACATAAAAAAGCTCCTTGTTTCATTAATCTCTGGACAATCTCTTCAGAAACAATTTTGTGAGGTGGAATAAGCAGGAGATAATGCAAATAAATGTTTCTACCGTCACATTGTTGCTTTTGTTTTTTCCAAGATTTAATGCTATTTTGTATAATCAGTGAGTCTTTTTCTTTTCAGGTATAATTTAGTGCAGGCATGTTTCATGCCACCATATGAAGCTTTAAACTTAAAGCCATGCTTTATGGCTCCCTTACCTACAGTTACTCTAATTGGTATAACAGCCACATCAAGTGGTAATTTGTGCCATCTAGCCAGCAACGTGTATTTCATTCTCCCACTACTTTTACCAGGTAAATACCATGTATTAGCTGGGTCACACATAAGGTGCTAGTTTGTGATTGCTATCCCCCTACCTCCAAAGACTGTGAGAAGTAAGATTATAACCAGAGCACATGTCATCAGAGAGAAGGAGGGTAAGGAAATAAGATAATAGAAAAGCAAAAGGGTTGGGAATCTTGCTATGGGTAGTTGGAGGTGTTTACATGAGAGGAGTGGGAATGAGGATTGGGGAGTCAGGACATGAGGTGTTAGTGTGGGTGGCAGTGCAGGTTTGGTCATGATTCTGCTTCCCATGAAGATATTTTGCATGCATTGGTCTACACCCCTAGCTGCTCAGTGCAGATTATGTCCTTGCAGCATAGAATCACAGTCATAGAATGTATTGAGTTGGAAGGGACCTTCAAAGATCATCTGGTCCATCTAGGATGACAATGATGCCTGTGCAAGTAATTTTCTTTGTGAGTAAGCAAATGTCATAACTGCAGTCCTCATTTTTCATAAAATCTGTTTGGCATGAAATAAAGGTTGGGTTCCTTCCATTTTTTTATCCTGCATTTGAAAAAAATGTATGCATATGTATTTTAAGCATGTGTTCATAATTGCTGTAGATAATTACTCTCCCTTTTGCACCACAAATTTCTGTATAACCAGGGGCATACACTCAAACCTGGAAACCTAACCTTCCTGCATAGTCAAAGATACCTTTATTGGATAGCCCAGACCACTTACTTTGGGTAGCAGTTAGGGTTCTCACTTCTGCGTCCAAATCACTTTCTGAACTACTTATCAGTAAAAAGGAAGTAAGAGCACTGTGCAATTACCCTGACAGGGAGTTAAGTACTTTAAAAAATAGTGGTGGTGCAGGTAACAAAACCAAATAGATAATCTTTGCTTTTTCAATTTTTTTCTGTATAGCAGGAGTTGAGACCAATAATTTTGTTGTATCACTTTCTAACTTGTATCTTAGTGACCTTATGGATTTTAGGCTTCAACAGAAAAAATATATATTTTATAATTTGTTATTTCATTTGTACTGGCACTTAGAGAGCTATAGCCTGATAAGTTAGATACTGCATTAGTATACAATACAAACAACGTTTGCCGTAAAGAGTTGATATTCCAATATATTTAAGCCAGGGAAAATTACGTGAATGCAGGAAACAAGTGGAGAATTAAAAGTTGGTAGCAAGATTAATATGACCTAAATAAAAAAAATCCTAAATCCACAGCTGTCAGAATCTCCCAAAGATGCTGCTAGTATGTCCTAAATCAGTGATGTAAGGTAAATATTTTCTGTAGTATGTGACACAAAACCATACTCATGTTTGAAAGCTGTGCCATGCAATAAAAGATTAGCATTTTTTATTGAATTTTTCTGGGTGACTCTGTTCTTATACAACTTCACATTTTTTGAGGGTTAATTGAAAAAAAAAAGCAAGAAAAAAACACCAAAAAAACCAACACAGAAACAAACACAACCCCCACACACAAAAAAACCCCAAACACAAAACAACAAACCAAAACAAGCAAACAAACAAATGAAAAAAACTTAAATATCTATTTGCAAAAAGCTGAATATTCCTTATATTTAGTTATTAGTTAATATATTTTTATCCAGATCCCAAATACCAAATCAAATCTAAGAATGATTTCCTCCTTTTTTTCTGATAGGAAAACCAAAAAAGGGCACCTGAAAGTTGCCAAGTAGTTTGAACTACACTTTAAAATGACTATGAGGTGTCCTGACATAAAAATTAGTGTGCCTATAAATATATATGAAATATTTTTCAGTGTGTGTGTATATACACAAATATGTATATACACATACTGAGATGTTTGTGTTTTTATAGGATTATTTATTATATGGGTGGGCTCAATGTTTTTTTCCAATATCTTGCTTTTATGTTACCTTTAGAGTAAGTCAGTACCTAACATTTTTTAATTTATTCCATAGAACATCTTTTGTTTTGATGTCAGTGAACTTGAATTTCTAAAGAAGTTAAAAATTCTATATATGCTGTAAAACAATTCAGTGCAAAATACATTATGGTATGTTACAGTTTTTAATATACATATTGTATAAGTGGAACATATAAATGTTTCTTAACTTTATAGTATGCTGGATTTTCAGAGATTTTATTTTGACTCTATCATAACAACTGGAAATATCTAGAATAAGTAAGACTGGAAACCACATTATTCATAGGGCATGCATTATTGTTCATAATTAGCTTGGCTTTATAATAAGCTTGATTTTATAATGAGACAGTGACATGAGAATGCTGCTAATAAAATTCTAATTGTATTTTATATTGACTTGTTGCTGAGATTTTAAATAGCATTTTGTTGAAAGGATTGACAAATTGAAAAGTGTTACCCCTACGTATATGCTTCACAAGACCTGGATGAATGGATATCAATAGGCTACTAAAAATATATTTCTGTAAGATAAAACATCATATTAATTCAATGTCATGAAACAAATGGTACATTAAAACATTGAGACACATTTGTAAAATTATATTGAAAACAAAAGCTAAAAAACACATGTATAATATTGAATTTTTTATCTTGGATGTCATTCTTCACTCATAGCAATAAGTCAATAAGGAATACATTTTTTGACGTTAATGAGGCTGTATAAGTTTGAAACTTGTTTAAACAGGAGGAAAGGTAGGGTTTATAGGCAAGTAGTCCTTCTTTGAAGACATTTTGATAAACTTTTTAAGATGTGCAAATGCCATATTTTAATTTTTCAGAATCTTCAGCATTTAGATACTCCTGCTGCACTTCATTTACATAGGCTGAATAGCATGTAGCATATAACGTATTTCTGTGTGCCTATGTGAGTGACAGGTTGAACAATCAAGATTGTGTCCTCTTCAAGACCACCTGTTTTATCTGTCTGTGCTACACTGTATTTGTTTCAGCCAAGTGTGTTTTTTTAATTATTAGTACTATAGATGTTTTAAGGGAAGGTAAAGAATTTCAGACACATTTTGTCTAAGTTAGTTTGCTACATTATCTGGGAAAGAGAGGAATCAGATGGAAACACTCTGATACAATCTTAGACAATTTTTCCATATGAGCATAATATCTGCATTTGATTAATCTTTTGGTCTGAAATTTACTATGCTGAAAGCAGTATTTTCTGTGGGAGAATGATAAATATGATTTTCCTGTTATTTAATCTTTAATTCTTTGTGTTGTATGTTTGAAACGGATGCAGAACATTAAAAAGCGTGATGAGCTGTATTTATTTTAAATATATTTTTTAACCTTTTCTTTTAAAAACACGGTAACTAACTTCATTCTTTTCCTTCCTTTTATAGGATAGCAAAATATTGTAGTGTTTATGCGCAAAGCAGAAGTATTATTTATATATATTTTTTTTAATTACAGGTAAAGATTATAGTTCCCAACAGCACAGCAGGTCTGATAATAGGGAAGGGAGGTGCTACAGTGAAGGCTATAATGGAGCAGTCAGGGGCTTGGGTGCAGCTTTCCCAGAAACCTGATGGGATCAACTTGCAAGAGAGGGTTGTCACTGTGAGTGGAGAACCTGAACAAAACCGAAAAGCTGTTGAACTTATCATCCAGAAGATACAAGAGGATCCACAGAGTGGCAGCTGTCTCAATATCAGTTATGCCAATGTCACAGGTCCAGTGGCCAATTCCAATCCAACCGGATCTCCTTATGCAAACACTGCTGAAGTGTTACCAACTGCTGCAGCTGCTGCAGGGCTATTAGGACATGCTAACCTTGCTGGAGTGGCAGCCTTTCCAGCAGTTTTATCTGGCTTTACAGGCAATGACCTGGTGGCCATCACCTCTGCACTTAATACATTAGCCAGCTATGGATATAATCTCAATACGTTAGGTTTAGGCCTAAGTCAGGCAGCAGCTACAGGGGCTTTGGCTGCAGCAGCTGCCAGTGCCAACCCAGCAGCAGCAGCAGCCAATTTGTTGGCCACCTATG